CCACCCCTTAGGATTCTTACGCCATCCCCCCCCCCTCCCCCCCGATTTTACAAGCTCAGCCACCAATTCACCACCAGATAGAATTGAGCGGGTTAAAAAGCTTAATACTAAGCTTCTCAATGATCAAAAGAAGATTGAGCATCTATCTCAAAGCGTTCAGAGGCATATTCGACGGAATGCAGATGCAAATACGCTTTTGTCCCAAGAGGTTGAATTGTTAAAGGCCTATTTGAAGAAGGCTCAGTTCCACAAATCAACTGCAAATACACCAAAAAATGGGAAATCGCTTCTTAGGACTAAAGGCAGTGTCCTATCACCTATATGTGCAAATCGGATGATGGTGTAAAGACAGGATGCCGATGCTAAGAAGCTAAAGCGGCTACAGGCAAAACAGGCCAAAGAATTGGAAGCCCAACAACGGGCCCAGGAAGCAAGGGATTTATTAGAAGCTGAGCATGAAGCTTCAATGGCGGCAAGAGATAGTCACAGTGGAAATTGGTATATAGGTAGTCATAGTGGTTACATGTAAATATTATTTTTTTTGAATGAGAAATTGAAAATTTTGCGTTTGGTGGGAATTTTGCGTTTGGTGGGGCGCACCAACTACCCAGGATGGGTGGTTGGGCGCTTGGCACGGTTAGCAAGCAGTATACAAAATGAGATCTGTGAATAGCTTCAAAAATTAATTATGGAATGGTGGAATTGTTACTGTTCGATATGAATTGTGGAGCAGGCACATGATCTCCTATAAGCATTTTGGTATAGGGTTATATGTGGCCAAGAGTCAGGTGATTAGGGTGTCATATACTGTGCGGATACCATATTAAGTTACACAAATGATGACAAATGGTTGGCCAAGAAAGGCTATGCCTAAAAAGGACTAAAGGTGTGCAGATAGTAAAAATTGACGCTAAGGGGTGTGTGCATATAGTCATTCTCTAACTGCCACTAGGGACATTTTCTACACCGAAGGTTATAGCGATGTTATCCTATATCTACTAAACCATGACTCCACAGACCATATCGCTATACCTTTAATCCTCAATAACGTATGGTTAGCGCTAGATCTTCGTGCTAGTTTGATCTCTATATCTACCCTCGATAAGGTAGATATTAGTATATAGGCTAAAAATGGTATAATGATATGCAAATATCAGGATCAGTATAGCCCTAAATCTACCATTGGCTTTGCTACCTACGAAGGGGAGCATTACTAGCTGAACTACGTGTCACGGTGCGAACCGTGATGCTTAGTAAGAGGAAGATCACGGCACGTGATCTCCGACCTGTTTATCTGAACTTCAGTTCTAGATCCTGTTGTAGCTCTGGGAGCTACGTCTTGTATAATAGCCTGCCCCTGCCTGTACCTGTCAAGTGGAATCTGATCTGTTATGACCTGTTCTTACCAGTCATCTCCTATCATACCGTCCTGCCAGCCCGCACCCTGACACTACGCCGGCATTAACAAGGTTGACTATATGATAGAATGTAACATCATCACTGGATCTCCTAACTCGATTTTCGCTATCAATTCCACCCTAATTTAAATCGATCTTGCTTATCGTCGTGCGTGTCACGCCGGCGAGGACCGTGTGCGAAAGATTGATAGCGTCAAACTAAAGAAAGGCGCCGGTGTTACCTTTCCTTATATTCCATATATTAAGGGTAAGGGTTATGCACTACCTTTTGGTAAGGAGAGGTCTATTAGATCGAAACCTAGTGAATTCATTCATCTAGACGTCTAGGGACTAATTTCTATTACTTCTTACCGTGGTGAGTATTTTATCTCTTAAAATCGCGCTCTTAAGTTACTGAGGTTTATATCTAGTTAGAAACCTATCTCAAGACACAGTTTGACTACACTGTTAAAAAGGTTCACGGCGATAATTCGATAGAGAATAAACCACTGGCTACTTACCTTGCTAGTAAGGAGATAGTGTGGGACCTAACACCACCGTACACTAAGTTGCTTAATGGTGTCGTAGAGATCAAAAATCGTTATCTTATTGAACCGCTGGTAGCGATCATAAGTGAATACTAACTGCCGAAATACCTTTAGGGCTTGCTTCTTGGCGGTATCAATTACACCATGAATCGGCTTTATGCTTCGAAAATTGGTATATCTCCATACGAGGCTCTCTTCGGGAAGAAGCCTGATCTTTCTAACCTTCGAGCTCTTGGCTACCAATGCTGGTTCTTGATTCCTAAAGAGAAGCGGAATACAAAGCTTGACCCCTATATAGAAGAAGCGAGATTGATCGCTTACGACCAGGGTGATAATTATGTCTTGTACAATGTGCGTACAAAAAAGATTGAACGCTCACGATATGTCATTTTCAATGAAAATCCCGCTCCTGCAAGTCTTCCGAATCCTGCCTATGATCTCAATATTACTGGCATGAATCTATAGGAATATCATTCGTAAGATCGTCACATTCCAATTGACTTTCTTTAAATTCAACCTTATCTTGACAATCCGTTCAATATTCGACCTAATTCTCCGCCCCCTCCTGCGGTAGAGGACGATCCTGACAATACAGAGTAAGTAAGGGCTCCGAATGCTCTTGACCCGGCGAATCCAGCACTCTTTGAAGAAGATCTCGCATGGTCTTAGTCTAATTACCCTTTGAATCCTGAACCCTATCTTCCTAAACCCTATCTTATAAACCCCGAATCCTTCGAAATATGAGACGATGATGAAATGGCGGGTAGCTTTAGTAGGACTGTGGAGGCACAACGGGAGGATACCGGTGCCCCACTTTGACGTAGGCAGGCGAGGGACTCTCGTCGAGTCACACACAGCCTGCTTCCCGGCAGGTTGTCAATAAGGATACTCCCGAGGATATTCTTGAACACGATCGAGGACGAGCTTAAACGCCAATTGATTTCTCGTATATAGATCCTATTCCTGATAACAGAAGATAGGATAGGAGCTACGTTGCAACTCAGCCTATACAGCCTGAAAATGACCAGCTACGCCGTTCAATAAGAATCAAGAGGCTAAGCCAAGCCTATCTCGATAGTCTTGCTAGTCGATCCTTATTTGATATAAATGTCATTTAGTTTCTTACTGATTGTCCAGAGAGGATTATAGATCTATTCTCTACTGCTACAGCTAAGTATGCTGCTTCCACATTGATATCTAACGACGTTGGTTTCGAACCAAATGGCTGGGCACAAGCTATGTCCTGAGTCGAAAAGGATAAATGGCTAGTTGCTGCTCACAAAGAGCTATATCGTCACTTGGTAAACAGCAACTAGAAGGTTATATCTCGCTCCAAAAGCAGGAAGAAACCGCTTACACTCCGCTAGGTGTTTAAAATCAAGCATGACGGTGCCTATAAAGCACGACTTGTTGGTCGTGGATTTCGTCAGATCAAAGATCTAGATTTCTACGAAGTCTATGCTGTTGTCGCTAAGCCTATGTCTTTCAAGATCTTTTTTGCAAATGCTGCAGCAAAAGGCTGGTATATATCATGTTGACATTGTTACAGCTTTTCTCTATGCTGAACTGAAAGAGCCAATTGAAATTGAACTACTAGAGGGTTAGCGAGATGAATATCCTAACCACATTGGCCTACTTATGAAAACAATCTATAGACTGAAACAAAGCCCCCGGGAGTGGTATTCGGCTACTCCATGATGTCTTGATATCAATGGGTTTCACACGAACTTAGTCGGATCATTTAATCTTCGTTAAACTGGGTAGTATACCGATTTATCTTATGGTGTACGTCGACGACTTGCTAGTTCTTTCTCCGTCGGAGGACATGATTCAACCTTTTAAAGATGCTATTCCAAAGCACTTTGACACCTCCGATAAGGGCAAGCTTCAACAATACCTTTCAATCAACGTTCACTATGCCGATCTTAACGGCATGATACATTTGTCACAAGCTGACTGACCATGTTGATAAAATCCTTACCCGCTTTGGTTTCGAGAAGTGCAAACCAGTGGGTACCCCAATGGATGAAAAGCTACCACTGCTCCCTTTTAAACACACTGCGACGAAAGGACAGATCCTTGAATATCAAACCAAGACCGGCACACTGATCTGGTTATTGGTATCTACTAGGCTAGATATCTCATTTGCTGTCATCAAGCTTACTAATCTTGCCAAAGGTCTAGGTGAAATTCACTTCTAAGCACTGAAAAGGGTGTTTCGCTATCTTGCTGGCACAAAGTTTCTTACGATCTCTTTCTTACGAGAAATAGATCTGAATTCATGCTCAATGGCAGTATATAGCTACTGCGATACTGACTGGGTAGGACTATATAGTGAGAAAGGACTTTCCATATCTGGTTTCCTGTTTAAAATGGCCGTAGGAGCAATATCTTAGACCTCTAAGAAACAACCATGTGTTGCTCTCTCCACCACTGAGAGTGAATACATTGCTGAAGCTCTCTCTAGCAGTACAAGAAGCAATTTGGTTAACTAAATTGCTTGCAGAGCTAGGGATTAAAAGTTTTCTTAGGAAGCCTATTCCTATTTTTGCAGAGAGAATAGTTAGACTATATATGCACACACCCCTTGGCGCCATTTTTTGCTATCTGCACACCTTTAGTCCTTTTTATGCATAGCCTTTCTTGGCCAACCATTTGTCATCATTTGTGTAACTTAATATGGCATCCGCATAGTAAACGACACCCTCATCACCTGACTCTTGGCCACATATAACCCTATACCAAAATGCTTATCGGAGATACGTGCCTGCTCCACAATTCATATCGCACAGTAACAATTCCACCATACCATAATTTATTTTTGAAGCTATTCACAAATCTCATTTTGTGTACTGCTATTGA